GGTCTGATGATAACCCTTAAATTCTCTTTTTAGTATTTCCACAAATAGTGAACTAAGTTGTGTCATTTTAAGGATAAGAAAGGAGAGGGTTGATAGACACTGAAAGGATAGTACTTTACATATATGTTGTCCCAATAATTAACACAAATTATAATCAAATCAATCATCCACCATTACTATTGGAGTCAGTCCATGATTCTATTGTGATTATGACCCTCTTTTGGACAATTCCTACTAAATGTGTATGTCCTATCGACCATTCATTTCTGTTTGGACCGTTTGAATAATCTATGCACTTACAGTTATGAAAGAGTTTTTTATTTTCTTCCCAATTTTATTTAAACAATTGTGATATGCATAGAATTTCCAGTCAACGTTCATATTGAGAAATGGAAAAGTAAGACAATAATCTGTTGTAACATGTACATTTCGTTGATAGCGAAATCCAAAAAAAAAGTTAAAACGGAAAATGATTAATATTATACATTAAGATGCTGATGTGAACCAAATTAGGGGATGTCCATATCAGTGCCATGTTATATAGCACGCGAGAAGAATATTGATGTACATTATATGAAGGTAACATTGAACAAGATCCGGTCGTTTAAATGAAAATATTTTAAAGGATTCAAGATCGAGACTATGACATTTATTATAGTTAATTTTACTAGTTAGTCTCCATATTATCATGAATGGATAATCATTAACCATTTCGAAAAGTATGGATGCGTTGAGTCTCGGGAGATTTACTTTGACTTGTTATCTTTTTCATTTGCCAATTTTCAAGAGAAAGAAAAGGTAATAAGACTAATAGATTTGGGGCATCAGATTCTTCTTTCTTACCACAAAAGAATCAAATAAAAAGGTTTTGAGCTTCACCAACCTTTCAATGTATATAAATTCAACAAAAAGGATACATTTCTACATATATGTATATTATATATATATATATATTTTTTTTTTTGGTTGATAATCATATATTTTCGTGTGTTCCTCGTTGAGAGATTCTGATTCTTTTGTCTTCTATTTTTTTTTTCTTTTGGAAAAAGCTCACATGCCCATAAAGATAATGTAAAGCTAGTTTGAGGATATCAAAAGAAATAATTTCAATTGTAATTTGTTTGTATCTGTATGTATACTATCAGCAAAAATGAAAATTTTCTTTGTCTATGCATAGCTTGAAAATAATTAATTTAATCAGATTGGTTTAGAATTAAACCAGTTGTAGAAAGATCTCTTAGTCAGTTTGGAGATTATTTCGGCATATATAGCAACTGAATCATCTGAATAGCATTTATATAGACTGAAATTTGTTAACCTAGACAAGTGCAACTAAAAAAAGATGAGAATTTAATTTCGTAAAAAAACCAATTTAATCATCTTTGCGACGTAATGACACCCTTTCTTAAATTTATTGGTAACTACAATTTCTGTTCAACAAAGAAAGTGCCCTTTTAAATGAAAAAATGTGAAAGCTGATATCAATGGATAATCTTCGCACAAGATAAAACTAAAAGAAACAGATTTTTCAAAACTTTGGATTCCTAACCAAAATCTTCTCGATTTCTACCCTGAGATTATATATACATAAGGTATCAACTTTTCTTTTCTCGTTGCTTTTCTTTCACAAAAAGATGAGATCTTAGTTTTTATATATCTGTTGGCAGCTTTAGATAATGCAATTATAAGATAATGATGATTTTAAGAGGCAAAACATCAGAGTAAAAAGCGATGGGGTACGATTTTCCCATGCAAGACCATCTGCTTGTACCTTCTCCGGCAAACGTGCCATGCATGCAAGGACGTGTTCTCCAAAATTTTAATTTTTCTTTTTGCTGCTGGTTGGCACTACAAGGCAAATATGCTCTTACACTTACTATATTATGGCTTCATTTTAACTAAATCGAGGGTAGTTCAAAAAAAAAAAAATCTAAATCGAGGAAAGTAGGACAAGTGTTTGGGTTTATATAAATCTTTATGGTAAATGGAGATTATTGAATTTATATAAATAATGGTTCAGTGAAATTTATCTTTATAATTTTTCATGGTTATTCAAATTAATTTTTTAAAGTTATTGAATTTAATAGTTCGTTCCATCGCCGGTTTTATGGAATTACGTTTCGCTCGGCACGTGAATGCAGATGCTTTGCATGTGAATTAACTTGCTTTGTAGTTGTAGCGAACGAATTAAACTAACCAAAAGAATACCATTGGATCCTCGATATGAAAAGAAGGAAAGATAAAGTTTTAGTGTCCAAGAAACGAAAAATTCAAAGAGAAAAAGTGAAATCAAAATTTTAAGTTAAGAAAAAGAAGAGCAGAACCAAGGCTTTGTCACCCTTGCTTCGCCTGTCGCCCTTTGGAGTCGTCTTCAGGATGGTCTGCGGTTTTTGGGACCGTTCTCCGGCTGAAATCTCCAATGATCTCCGTTTGGCTTGTATTCAGGTTCCGGTTTCTTGCCTCTACGAGTTCTACTGAAACTGAATGGTTGTTCATTGACATCATTCCCAAGCCAAGCTTTGAACATGTTTTTAGGAGTGTGTTTAGACCTTTATTGTTCTAAGAAAGTCTTTTTTACCTTTTTTGTGGTTTTCTTAGACACTCATGCTTTAATTAACTTTCCAAGATTCATTAGGTTTGGTTTTATCAAAACTATTGGATCACCTTGTATCATTAACATGTTAATGAAAATTCACATACTTAAAATAAGAAGAATAGCAGAATCCAAACAACGATGAGAAGACAATTGTGATAGAAAATGCTTTCGTTCTTTGTCCTCGGACTTACCGTTACCTATATAAATGTAATATATATATGTAAGAAAACCAAATTAATGTATATTCATGTGAACATAACCAACTATATCAGAACTAAGAAACAGAAAATGTCTTAAGTATGAACTCACAAAACCTCAATCTACAAGTTTTCTGCCACAAATATACAAACCAAATTAGTATTTGGTATTTTTATATAAATAATGGTCCACTTGAAAACGCAGTCATATAGAGTTATTCTTTAGGAAGGACCATTTTCTACATTCAGTTTGGATTTAAATCGTTTTCGGTTTTCATATCTCTATCTCTCTACAGCGACATTACAATGATGTCATGTGATGTGATATGGGTATATCTGCATAGACAAAACACACACACACACACACACACATATATATATATATATATATGTATGTATATATTACATGTTAATGGCAGAGTTCTATATTTTTTCTTTCATTTCCTTAAATATAGATGGATATAATTCACAATATTATTACACGAGGTTAAATCTATGCTATATGTCTTATTTTATGGAAATATCAGTTTTAATCGAATAACATAAATTGTTTTGTTTCTTAAGCCAAAATTAGTTGAATCCCTAAAGAGAGACGCTGAAAACAGAGTTCTGTGTCCAGTAACTATTTGAAGTGAAACTATATGTGAATGCAAATGAGAATCTTACAGGGAAAGTTATATATTATCTCCAAAGTTTAGAATGCCATCCACTTGCACTATTGTTGGCACTGTGGATACTGGATTTAACAAATGTTATAACAATCATACAAAGCTATATGACTTGGTCTCTACCTTCACAGCTTATCAGAGTAGGATCAAGAACCGGAAGAAGAACTTTTCTATTTCATGTTTTCGTGTCCCCTGCTCTTCCTCTTGTTGGTTTTGGACATTGCCTTGTTGTACCCTTGTCCCTGTATTGTGACTAGAAATTGACCAGGTTTGATCCTAGCTGGACTCACGGCCTTTGTGGTTCGTTTGGTGGGCCGCTTGTCATCCTCATCCTTCTTGGTTTCGTCTTGAAATGCAAAGCCTCTACTTAGACCCTTTTAGTGAAAGTTGTTCAAACGCCAACAAATGAGAAAAAAAAAACTTGAAATTTGCCCTGGATTATGCAAAATCTTTGGAAGTTTTACGTATCTCAGAGAAAGAAGGTTATCGCGTTGATACCAAAGAATATTTACCTGAGGTAGCTAACAATGACATTTTGAAGCTCTTGTATTCTTGACTGTAAGGAAATCGAGTCTTGTACATTCATGATTGAGGTTTATACTTATTACATGTTACCAAACCTTAACCGTAGATAATAACTTTGACAATATTTAATGGAAACGACTATGACTTGGACAAATAGATAAACTAGTCTATAACTTGAATTTTGCGAAGCTTCTTGTGTGACCTCACTGTTACACGAATCACTAAGCATATGATCAGTTCTCACCGAATAAAACCCACTCCGCTTTCGTAATAAATCAAACGAGATTCAATAGGCTGATCAAAGAAAATCCCATCCTTCCCCACCAAACAATAAAATCTTATCATTAGACCTTTACTAAGCAAAAAAAAAAGACCTTTACTAAGCATATAATCAGTTCTCAACAAATAAAACCCACACCTGATTTGGAGATAAATCAAACGAGATTCAATAGCGTAATCAAAGAAAATCCTAATCCTTCCCCACCAAACATAAAATCTTACATTACACCTTTCCCTTTGTTAACTTGCCGGTTTATAATTAAATATACAAAAAACAAACATTTCATATGATTTTATGACTTAAATTTTGATTAAAGACACAAAACTAAGATGAAATTTTTTTAAATCCATTTAAAAGTTTTTGAAACTCGCCTATACATTCTCTGATACTAATCTAAAAAAAAAAAAAAAAACTGAGAGCAAATGCAATGGTGATTTATCACCGATCCTTAGCACGTAACTAACATAAATTAGAATAAAATATTATTAACAAGGCAAATTAGTAAGGATTGGTATTTAGAGAAGGATTTTCAAGTCTTAATCCTTAGACACGTGGTTGCGTCTACACATGGTTGCGTCTGATTAGTGTCATCTTTTTTTTTCAAGAACACATAATTTTTACATATATAATTGAAAACATTTGTAACAAATTTGGAGATTAAGATTAATATTTATTGTATTTTTATATTTAATCATGTAATAAATAAAAAATTTAAATTTTATATATTTTAAATTTTGATATTTTTTTATTCCTACGGTCTAAATTGGAGAACTTGTACAATTTTGTGTTGGAAATCCTTAATTATTCTAAAAAGAAAATTAATTTAATAATAATAAGGACACCATTATGCTCTAAAATAGGGTTAAATATAACTTCAACAAAACAAATTAATGTTATGATCCCTACGAGTCACACACCACTGGCCGGAAAACACCTCGAGATATCAGCCACCGAGTATGATCTCCTTCCACAAAACTCCAACGACGACTTTAAATTACCAAAAGACCCTCGTCTCCTAGGATACAACGGAGGAAGTCTCTGCCTCGGAGGAGATGGACTTGATCCCGACGACGACGAGTCTCCCCCGGAACAAGATCCTTCTCCTGCTGCAACCGCCATGGCGAGGGTCAAAACGCTTCTGCTCGAGCTTAAGACGTGTTTCTTGGAGATCCCGCCACGTGGAGTCGTCTTCTTGTTGTTCTTCTCCCATATCTGATGGCATAGGAGATTCCTCCGACGACGAGTGTAAGGATTCTCCGGCTTGGCTAAGTCCTTCATCGACGACGGAGAAGTCAACGTTGACGCAGCCACAGCTAGGTTCGAGAATGACTTTGACTTTCCGTTGTAATAACTCGATATCCCCTTTCTACACAAGAAAAAAAAAACACATTCACAGATCAGGAAAGTTCCAATTTCTTTATTAAGAATCTTTCTAAATTTGGAAAGTTTACCTAACGGGTAAGACATCTTCGAGAGATTCCATCAGATCAAGAGGGCCTTTGTACGTAGACTCAGCTTCATTCTCTTCGCCGTGAAACTCTTCTTCATCGTCGCTGTTCCTCCCGATTGAAGAAGAAGTTGACGAGAAAGACTCAGAAGATGACTGATACAAGCTATCACCGGAGATATCAAACACAAAAGATTCAACTCTATTCATCATAGATATTTTTGAAACACACACTAATGAGAAGAAAAAGATGAGATGAGATCTTTTTTATATTGGTGATCTCTTTGTGTCTGTGTGCTCTGGTGGTTTTCCTATAAACATTTAAGTAATGGAAACAAATAGCAATTATTATCTATTTATTACTTTTTATTAAATTTAAAATGGAAAAGGTGAGGAAAAAAGAAGAGGATAGGTAAGTTTTGAGAGAAAAAGACAGAGGAAGGGACAGGAAAAAAGATAAACTGTTGGCTTAATCTTATCTTCATCCAAGCATTTTGCATGAAGTATTATCTTATTTTCTTTATTTACAATTTGGTTGTCCTACTTTTTATATTCACATATTGCTACCTTAGTCATTTGTTGGAGGAATTGATAAAACAAAATTCAAGATTTCAAAATGATAATACAAATTTATTTTTATTAAATTTTTATTAAAAAAAAAAATTTAGCTGAAAATAGTTTTTATGATGTCGAAGGACTATTTGTAAAACTAGCGTTGTAAATTAACATTTTTTGTTGTGCACACCATGTAAATTATAGAGAAAAATAAGATAAGCATTGTAAATTAACATTGATATCTTATTTTTTTCTATAATTTGTTTTGGCTCATGGAAGATAGAGCTATTGATGTTCGACGCGTGGCGCTTCCTTGGCCGTTGAGGCTGGTTAGGAACTGGGATGAATGTGACGTGGCGACGACGAGATGGCCATCTTTGTTGTCTGAAAGAGGTGAGGCTTATCCACATATGAAAAGGGACCCACATATAAGAATTGTATACTTTTTATTATCTTGGGGGAAAAGGAATTGCCGAATAGGAAAAATATATTTTCAAATTAATTGTCAAATGTACTCTAACCAGATACCACTTTTATATAGATTTTATGTTTATCTTCTCCTAGATTCCTTCATTATACCATGTCCAATTTTGTGGAGATTTTTTTTCATTATTGCAGTAATGATTATACAGTACTTATGCGGATAAAATAAAACTATTGGGGTTTATTAAAGAAACAAAAAAGTTACAAACAGCATTTTAAAAATATTGTATTTACACTTTAACCATACAATGTATATTGAAAGAAAGAAGACTAGTTAGGGTATATGTTGCGTAAAGCATTCAAATTCAATCAATAACGCGTATCAACATAGGATCTCATCTCATCAGGATCATTGTCATGGGCCCTCTTTTAGCCCACATCTATAGACCCACTCTCATTTCACTTTTCCCATTCCAATTAAATATTTCAATCTAACGTGGCCGCCCACTCAACGTTATTGTCACTACCGTCCGTCTGATCACGTGGTGTTGCCTAACCCATTAATCTCATTTCCACCACGTTATCCATAACCCGTTTTTTCCTATCTTTCATTTGTATTTAAATACCTAACGTAGTAGAGGCAAGTTATAGCCTCTGGTTGTTAATGTCTTTACAGAACCAACTTCATCTTCAACAACAGCTGGAGAAGGAGGATCTCTTAGGCTGTCTTAACTCTGGCTTTGGCTAATTCGTTCCTTAATTCTTAAGTACTCCTTACTAATGTCCCCTGTATATGATGCTAATATTGTCTAATTAGGGAACATATCTGTAGAGGAATGTCTTTGTGAAGAAAGAAAAAAAAAACAAGGGTCGTGACTCGTGACACATTTCATGTTTAAAGACAATGATCAACATATCTCCACGAGTTGTCATAAAGTTCCATCCTAGGCAGGTGTCACGCGAACGTTGTATTAATTTTTATAGTCTAATAATAAGGATGAAAACGACGTGGGGATTCATTTAAAAGTTGAAAACACGTCTACACATTATTACGATGTCAACCAAACGTCCTAGGATACAGCATCGATGTCTCCGAAAGTTCGTCGGAATCGATCCGAGAGTAAGAGTGATACTCTCGAGCTATAATGGGGATGACTGCACGGTAAACCTCTATTCCAGACCTTGTAAAAGCATCGGGGTATATGCTCCAAAAAACTCCACGACGGAGGGTAGCGTGTCCATCATCATTAGGGCTCAAATATATGTTATACGTGTTACCAGCATTGATCTGGTTTAGAGAGATGTCGTCTAAGCTGGTAGCAGCATTAAAAACAAGAGAGAGATCACAACGCATAGAGTAATGTCCAACTTGATGCGGGTTATCGTGTTGGGTTGCATTATGGTTTCCAGCCTCTGCGGTCCATTTTGGAGGATCAAACACGTTAGTATCTGTAGCAGTGCAACGTACACTACCAGCGGCTGAACTCGAAGCTGAACAGTCGTATAAAGGCACGGAGCCTTTCCAGAACATGCAATACGTAGCCATCATAGCAGCAACCGAACCAAACCAGGAGGAGTCTTCCGCGAGCCTGAGAAAAGAGGACCAGTTATCATTCACTTCAGTGGAATTCACGTCGAGAGGTTGTGGAATGTTGAGAAATGGGAGTTGAAAGTTAGCTTCTTGCCACAAATCTAAGCTTCCAGGGTAGGTCAAGCACGCACCAGGAGAGGTGAGGTTAGCATGTTCATTATCACTTTGGTCACAAGGTTGTCTGAATAAATTAGCCATATAGCTTGGACCGTCGACATCACTTGAGAAGAGCTGGAACGTCACGTTGGGACGAGTAGCCGCAGCACAGATAGAGTTTAGTCTAGAGATGAAAATGTTAAGGTTGGGAAGGTGAGTGGTTGCATGAAACACTTTCGAAAGCACAAACCAAGGGACCAGGGATCCAGAGGTTTTGTAAAGGGAATTGGTGACAGAAGTCTCCGAGGAGGGAAGAGAGGCTGGGGAGTAAATAGCCGGAGGCTTGCATGGCTCGCATAGTTTGAATGTAGAGAAGCATGCAGATGTAGATCTGAGAGTAAGGAGGTACCCAGCCCATGCAGTTATTGGTCCATCGGTCTGTGAATGTCATGAGGTGGTCCATATTATTGAGGTAGTAGAAGATGCTGATAAAGCAGGGGGTGAATGTTGATATAGTAGGGTATGTCAACTTATTGGGTGGGAAGTTGGCAGCAATGGCAAATATCTTATTATGAATGTCATCCATAGCAATCGAAAATTGGATTCAGCTGAAAATATTGGAGAGGAAATGAAAGAGAGGAGTTTTTGTCCAAAAATAAATAAATGAAAGAGAAGAGAAGATGAGATCTTTGAGTCTGCGTGCTCTCAGGTGGTTTTATTACAATTGTTAAAATTTTAAAATTAAATAGTGAGAAAGAAGAAGATGATAAAGTCAGTTTTGAGCGAATCGACCGAGGGGGGGACATGAGAAACTGTTGGCTGAAACTTATCGTCATCCACGCCAAGCACTCTGCATGCAGTTCATCGTTTAAAATTTGTTCTTATTACTTTAATTATGGACACCATTCCCTTGACTTGTCATAAATCAATTTATAGCATCCGTTTTGCTAGAATCGAACATCATTAATGTTGTTTTTATTGTTCACCTATTCATCTCATTAGTAAAAGAAATTTTTTAATGTAACATTTCTAACGTAGGCGAGATGAGGAATCAGTACGCAAGTTTTTTTTTTGATATGGATGTTACAATTAGATTGAAGGAGAGGGAGATAACAAGAAAGACATGATAGTGCCATTGAATTCTTTTCCGTTTGGGGTATGTGTGATGTCTTTTGTATCACTTTCAGCTTCGCCTTCTTCCCTAACATCCTGTAGATGTAATGCAAAGATGTTAAATTTTTTTTCTAACGATATGTAAACTTAAGTGCTAAAGAGTTAAGGATCTTACTCTTTGAGGTCATGAGCCATTTTCAAAGGAAAAACCTGGTCATGCTCACCCCATATCAGCATTACATCCTGCATGAACCCTATAATTTATCTCTTCTACTATATAGAGTCGTTTAATTTTAATCGGTAGAATGAATCAAGATTATAAATTCTATAAATATACCACTTATTACAACTTATTATCATGTAGTTAGAGAAGTTAATATATCGTTTTATAATGAAAATACAACTAAAAAACCAACTATAAACAAAACCATCATATTTAAACACTCTAGGTCTACTAGTTATTGGGGAGACGTTCTAGGTCTCCTCGAGACCTCGACTATTGAAAAGCATTGTTCATGCGGACGCGTTTATATGTGAATTGCTTTTTCAAGAAAAAATGTCACATTATTTTTTAATATAATTCATCTTCATTCTTCAAAAAAATCTTTACAAAATACAAAAGCCAAACGCAAAAAGAAAAAAAGAAAAAAAAAATCGTTGTCATTTAGCGTTTAAGTTGAAAACTACCAAGATAAATTGTTTAAAAATTATACTTGAAGGTTTAGGTTGACAAGTAACAAACACTAAACACCAAATCTGAAAATGAATGCATCTAAAACGATTGGAAAATGTTTACATATGTGCTAATAAAAGACAGAAGTTATCCAATCAAATGCAGTATAGGGATCTCTTTTATTTGTTTTACAGAAGACTGCAGTTAATAGTTTTTCAATAAATAAAAAACCACAACCTTATTAACTAATGTCAGCAATTAAGTAACGGAAGAGTATATATTAATGTTGGTGATAGCGTAAAACCAAAATAACAATAATGGTGATAGCACAAAACAAAACAAAAAATTAATGGTGATAGCGAACCTGTTGAAGGGGAGTAACGTTAGTTTTGTCGTCCCTCCCAATAGTGAGCCCCTCCAGAAGTTCAGCCTTTTCTTTTCTCTTCTCCGAATACATTTTCTGTGTGTTTTCCCATATTTTGAACATTAGTATATGTCAATCATGCAAGCCAAACTCTGCTATCAAATTAATATGTAATTGTATTTACTTATAGTTAAAGAAGTCATGAGAAATATTAGTCCAGCTTTGGGAGCTACAATGCTAAAGGATTTAGTATTATAAGTAACCAAATGAGAGTGACAACTTTCGTTGTCTTCTTGTCTTCTTTTATCAATCACTCTGTGTAAAGATAAACTAGTGGAATGCATCTTTATTTTCCACCATTGTTCTTTTCTTTTCGTTTAATTTATAATAATCTTAAGTGTGTGGTCAATATATCTCTTCTTTTAAGAATTGCGTGAAAACCTGGATTTTAATAAGAAAATTGTATGACAACTTTGAATGCTAGAATATAGACTAGTTTGGACTCCGGCATGGACTCCTCTTATTCAGAAATATTAAATCGATCTTCAAATATAATTAATTTACAAAAGAGAGAAACTATAGATTTTGAAGAAAAATGATAAAAGAAACTTCTATAAAATATTTTGACTAAACTAATTATATTATCCATTGATAAATGCAACGTTCGTTACTAGCATGTCTAGTTTTTAAAAGACTGTTTAGTGGATTTTTCCACGAGAAAAATGTTTAAGAAATAAAAATACCTGGCAAAAGTCATTCAAGACAAAATCTGGGACAAAATCGAGTTTCCTAGAAGAAACCATCCCAGAGAATCTCCTGAGATCATTCCCCGAGGAAGGAAGCATCACCTCCGTTATACGGTGACACTTGGCCCTCGCTATAAAGGCCTCGTTGTCACTCCTCCGCATATTAACGCCGGAGCTAGCAAGAATCACTTTCTCCACTTTCTCCGGAAACATTTTCGCCATGTTATAACCCACAAACCCACCGTAGCTCGTCCCGACAACACTAAACCTCTCCACACCGAGCTTCTCCATCAGCTTCCCCATGCAAGAAGCCTGAAACATCTCCGACCGGTTCTCGTTGGAGCAAGATGAGGTCGTCGTGGAGCCGCCGAAGAAGACGAGGTCTGGGATGTAGAGACGGAAAGCGAGAGAGAGTGGCTTTACCTGTCGGTTCCATTGCCATAAAGCGGAAGGGCCAAAACCGTGGAGGAGGAGGAGGGACGGTTTCTCTATGTTTTCAGGTGAAAGAGATGGTGGTGGGCCCCAGAACTGTATGGTGGTTTCGGAGTCGATGGGTAAGGTTTGGAGGGAGAGACCAGCGGAGGAGAATCTCCGGCGGATTATTACCTCGACGAACTTTGCAACGCTTAGAAAGGACGGAGCCATTAATTTTTTTTTTTTTTACACTATTTGATAGCTAAAGGTAATTATAGAGAAAAATATATGATTAGTATGAATTTACTGATTACAAAATTGCATATATTAAATGCGAGGCTGACTTTTTGTTGATTTTTTGTTTCTTTGTTTGGTTCTTGTTATGTTTTATTACCATTTGTTTATTTTTGGATTTATTTGTTGGAGATGGTTTTGTTTTTAATTCTTTAGAGTTAGGGGATATGAGTTTACAGACGTAACAGTCTTGCTTTTAATAAACTCAGTTTGTAATCTAAGTTTTGTTTAGTTTTTTTTTTTTTTGACGAGTTTAACTATAATTTTGTTAAGCATTAATAACAGGCATATATAGCTAGCATTTGTTGCCTTATTCAATTTTATTGAAATTTGCTGTTTTATGTGGACGACTGCAAACAGATATTTGTTCACGTAGTAAGTTATAAAACACCACATTAACTGTTACGTACGTGCTTGTTTTTATGGGTAAGGGTTTTCCATTAAATGGAAAACAATAAACATATGTACGTGCCACTTTTCTTGTTAGAAATGCCAACTAGTATTGAATAAGCAAATAGGGCCCGTAAACTCTTGGAATTGGCTTATTGAGTAGGCTCACCGAAAGTAGAAGTGGAACTAAATCTTGAGTCCAACAACCTATAATAAGTTTTGATTTACACTCGATAATATGACTCCTGATTCGATCCACATAATTTCAATACTCGCCAAGAGTTACTACCGACACATCCAAATAAAACGATACGGTGAACTGGTGATTGAAAATTCAATTGGCTGAACGGTTTACAATAGAGGTAAAAGATGAATATCAATACACATCAGTCAGCGGTTACTATAATGACCAAGGGAGCGTAGTAAGTTATGTGACAAGACTATTAAAAGAACAGTTTTCCGAGTTGCTTTGTTTCTTAGATTTAAAAATGTTATGAACCATTTTATGCAGTTTGGAAGAATAAACATGCCACTACTAGGCTTGGGTTCGACTGGATAATAATGTTAAGAGTAAAATATTAGAGGAAACCATATTTTCAGTTGATATACTCTAAGATAAAACCAATCAAGATAAACCATTTAATTTGATGGAGAGTATTTTTTTTTTTTGTTGTTGTGAATTTGTAGAATTAAAACATTTCTCCTCCTTTTGTAGAGTAAAAGCTCTACTACGTACACCACATTTATTTTTTTTCTTTGTTTAAACAAACCAAATTTTTTTTTTTTTCTCTTATGTTTATTTCCTTCTCGTTACTTTTATTATTAGTTACTACTAATTACTCTATTTTTACCAATCACACTCCCAATGTGATCATGAAATGTATCCTATGGGTTTGTAATCACGCCATTGTTGTGTTGCCGTATGAAATTGTGAATTTAAGTTTACATGTTGCACGTTGTTGATAACCAAAAAAATCACAAATAACTAACTATATATATCTATATGTTGTTCACTCTGAATGTCCTTTGGTTATATGATGATATATAAGTGTTGGTTTAACGACTGAAAGAATTATTTTGAATACTCTTTTTTGGTATAGTGTGAGTTCATTAACTGCATATGATGTTGTATGCTATTTATCATTGAAATATGTTTTGATCTCAACTTAGCGGTCTGTTGCCAATTTTTTTTTGCAATAGAGGCTCACAGTCTCAACGCCAATATAATAATTGCAGAGGCAAACTACTCCAACTCATTTCTATTTTTTTTCTTCTAAATAAAAATTACTATTTTATCTATTTATAAATGAAATTAGCATTTTTCGATGGCTTACTTTATATTTGGAGGTAACTATTTAATTAAAACACAATGAAACAAACATCATCTCTATTATACGGAATTTCTATTTTAAAATAAAAAAATAACAAGATAACAAAATACATTTAAAATGGTCTTAGGAAAAGAAACGCATATATGTGCATGGCCTCATGTTGCGGTTTGCTGCCTATTAAAAACTTCTCAAATCCTTTATTTTTCTCTACTCTAAAACACTTCCAAAAGCTTCAAACAAAGGGCACAAATACAATCACTGTAACATGATTTATTTAAATGAATACAATTTTATACTTTTCAAAACAAATTAAGAACATTATAGCTCAGTAACAATAAATGAACAAATAAGAACAATGGAAGCATCCACCGGCAGTGCAGGTGATGATTTTTGGTTAATAGTCTATTTAAATCTATAACCACACTTCTGATTATATATGTGAAGGCTGACCAAGTATAAAATTATAAATCATCTGTATTCTAGAAGTTAATTTATTAGCTCAAGAACTAGTTGATCTACTATACTATTATCATTACATAGTATTTATATTATATATTCGTTACATATTACATTTGTTTTTCAAAAAAGTTATTAATATAAAACATCAATTCTCAAACAAGACAGGAGCACTTGTAGAAACACACACACACACATATATATATATATATGGAACCTTATGTATACAATTTGGAAACAACCCATGACAAAACACTAGGGGTCGTCAAGATTGGCTTGTACTACAAACAAATCCTAGAAAGCAAAAAGAAAGAAAGCTACAGAGGAAGTAATGTGCAATGTAATACAAAACAAATAATAACTCATAAATGCCATTGGCTTAAAATTTCTATAAATATAATAGAAAGATAACTAAGATGAATAACCTAGCTATTAGTCTTACTATAATAGGCTAGTAGCTTAGAGATTCACCTTCAGTCATGATGGAATATTTTGGTCCAAGATCGCTGATAAAAAATACGGATCTCAGAAATTCCAAAGGTTAATATTGTAATGCGATAGATCATCTTCAACAACATAAGTTCCATCGTAGTAAATATCAGACGAGAGCTGATGTTGTTGTTGTTGCTGCAAATACAAATTGGTTGAATCATCGTCCATGAAAAAATTTCCAAACTCTTCCGACGTAGTAGTAACCACATGATTCTCCTCCCATATAAACGGCCAATACGTTGTCGTATCATTACTATTATCCTCGTGGTTGTCATTTCCCCCAACTTGACCTGACGTCGGCCCACCACTACCACCACTAATATCCCCACGTGCCGAAATTCCTCCTCCATCTTCGGTCTCATTTCCACGTGGCAATGTTGACGCCAGAGGCCGTTGTTGTTGCTGCGGTGGTAACACTTCCTCGCATGCAAACCGGCTGGCGACTACCTGAATCTGCTGCGGCGTCAAAGAACGTCCGCCGGGTATCTCCGGTGGATTGTCCGGGAAGTTGAAACGCGCTCCGGGGCCACGTAGACAATAGAGAGCTGCGTCGAAAGCACGCGCCGCCTGCTCAGCGGTGTCGAAAGAGCCGAGCCAGATCCTCTCACGGCTGTTTGGGAGACGAATCTCAGCAACCCATTTGCCCCACTTCCTCTTCCTAACACCTGTGTACTTGGGTGATGCATCCATCTCTATAAACCAAATGCAAAGGTTTGGATAAGTGTATTGTGTATATATATAACTTTGGTTATTAGGGCTTTTTTGTATATTTAATGTTTGGAGTTGAAAGTTATATAGTGAGAATGGCGGCTTGTTAGTGTATTTATATGTGTGTGTGTGTTAAGTAGAGTGTAATAATTGGAAGAAGAAGGTCTCAGGTTGTGCGCGTTGAAGAAGATGATTACGTGGTGTGGTACGCGGTGATGAAGAAACAGACATGTTTATTCTTTTCAACACGTGCCGCCGTAATTCATCGTTTCACAAGCTTGTACGAACTTCTTCTTTTTTCACTAACCAACAAAATTAGGGCTTTAATCATTCCTATCTATAATTTTAGTAGTAGTTGAGAGAGCATGTTAAATTAGAATGTGAAATTTTATTGAAATTATAGTATTTTTCACATTTGAAATGGTATTAAAAAAATAAGTTGTAAGAGAAATCTTAATCTGACACACGAAAAGAAACTCAAAAGGAAATATATAAAAACTTAAGATCGAAAATAACCTTCCTGGTTTTTGAAAACTAAAACCATTGCCGTTGTATTCGAACTCGTTATCATGAAAAATGAATAAACTTTTTCTTTTCTAGTATACACAACCTAAGTTGTGGGTACGTTACAAATGCATAAACTTTCTTTTCTAGTATACACAACCTAAGTTGTGGGTACGTTACAAATGCATCTGTTTTCTATTCAATTTTTTCTTACTTTACTTCAGTTTGAACTAATTATTTTTGTTTCTCACCGGAAATTGTTTAAACACACAAGAAAATCTATAGATTAATACCTGATAAATTAATAAAATGATAAATCAATAAATTTTACTAGTGGCGAATCAGATCACTATAAAATTTGACAAATTTAATAAGAAGATAATATTTTTAAATTTTTATGTAAATATATAGCTCCAATATAAACATAAACTAATATATATGAAGTTTGTATAAATATAAACCAGATATATTATGTAGTTTGGCTTTTACTCACATTCAAGTCTATTTTTAATTTGCATAATAATTATAAATATATTGATGTTATTATGTCATTTTACATTTAAAGTACATTTACAATATATATTTTCTATACATCAAATGATCAAGTAAGAACATAATAAAATTTGTATCTATAAAATTTAATTAATACATATATTTTTAAATTTTAATCTATACATATACCATAAAACATAAATTACATAAATTTTAAAAAGAAAAAAATTCTATAAATTAATAATTTTAATAAATTAATAAAATCTTGAAGTTCTAACAATATTAATTTATAGAGTTTTAATGTATTTAAGTCAATAAAAACTCTGTTAGAGAAAGCTGATGTGTTAGGGGGATTTGACTAAGATGAATAAGAATAGCCTGAAAGAGAGACCTTCAATTCCAAACAACATAAATTGTAATTTAATTGGTTTTGAAATGGTGTTACTTTGTTAGTATATAATTTATTCCCTAACCCTCTTCTACATACGCAAAGCAAAAAAGTAGTGCAAGGCATAACAATTTTAAGTGGATAGGTCGGTACATTTCAAATCCTTTTTGCCATATATAAATGACTTATAATTCATTTCTATATATTTATATTGATAGACATGTTTTGTCAACATCATATCATCGTATTGTGTCACGTTTTATGAAAGCTACACTTGTGAAGTAATTTGGGTTCTTCCTCTTATCTGCCCTGAATCTACATATTTCAAATCCGCTATCCACATGGGAACGTTTTCAATATATAGACCTTAATATATTTTTATCAAATAGGTAATATTCTAGGTTGTGTTTTTTTTTGGTAAAGGGTTGTTGTTTCTTTTGCTAGAAATGGGTTATACTTAACACATACACGAACAATAAATTTGACAAAATATTAAATGGCGGAAAATTAGAGTATACTCAAAACAAAGTTTTACGAAAAATAACTATGGTTTCGAAAGTCCAAAAACAAGTACTCGTTTTTCAAATTATTTTTAGACTTATATATTTATTTATTTTAAATGGGCATTTTGAAGGGATATACTGCATTCTAGAAGACTTAAACTTAGACTATTTTTTTTTTTTTTTTTTTTTTTTTTTTTTTTTAACTTTTATTTTATTTATAAGCTGAAAGGGGAACTACAGCAAAACACCACACGAGGTGCCCACAACCGAGAAAACCACTTAAAAAAAAACTCTAACTATACAAGCTCCAAGAAACTACTTACCAAAAAATCTCCAACTTCTCGACACTCCTCCTACACTACTACTCTTCAAACTCTCCCACACATCCACGCTGCAAAATCTGCAAAACACCACCAGCACTGAAACTAAAAAAGGCTCATCCAAGTACCAAGCAGAGATATGTCAGTCCTTCTAGAGTTGTGGGCTCTTGACAAGGGGTCCAGACGAGCTTGGATAGTATGCTTCATCTCAAGAATCACAGCCTGCGCCGGGCGGAACCTCTGATTATGAAGACGAGTATTCCTCTCTTTCCAAATAAAATATAAAGCTGCTTGATAAACAAGCTTAATGATCAGCTTCATAAACTTATCCGGTGAAGGATTTCGAAGCCATCTCAAACCATCCTCAAACAAAACAGGCGGGTTTATGCTCAATTTAGAGCAAAAGAAAGCCCACACCTCAGAGCTATAGACACACTCAAAGAAAAGGTGTTGTCTTGTTTCATCAGCCACATTACATAATAAGCACGCTGAAGGTACCTGCAAACCCCAACTTCTCATTCTATCTCTTGTACCCAATCTATTGCGAGCAATCACCCAGGTTATAAAAGCATGTTTCGGAATCCTCCCATGGAACCAAACTTGTCTATGCCAGAAAACTTCCTCTCCTCGCGGATGCAGAGCTTCCCAAGTATGTGCAGTGGAAAAAGAAATTGAGGCAGCTCTGTTACCAGGCTTCCACAGGTAAGTATCCTCAGCCTCAGAAGAAAGAATCGTGGCGGCGTCTGGTAAGCATTCTCTAATCAGGGTGATAAGTCTATTCCTGCTGCGACTCCGACTTAACCACCAATTCCCATCTCTTATTGCTTCAGCTACAACCGCCTCCGCATGTAACCCCGTGACCCCTGGTCCTCTAGGACCCGTTAAGTCAATCAAAGGGCCTAGAGAAGTCCAGTTGTCATGCCAAAAACTAGCAATAGTTCCTTTCCCCACCTCGCAAGTAAGCATGGGACGAGCAATATACCTCAGATTACACAAGCTCTTCCAAATCCAGCTACCACATCTCTGCGGTTGCAACTCCCAAAAGTTTCTATCACCAATCAAATGACGCTTGATCCACGAAACCCAAAGTGACCCACCTGCCGCAAAAATCAGCCAAATCAATTTAAGACCAAGTACTTGGTTCCAATCCTCTAGCCTTCTTAGACCCAAACCACCTTCCTCTTTTGGAGAACAAACTGAAGACCAGGAGATTTTAACTCCCCTAGCATCAGTTGGAGCTCCTTTCCAAAGAAAAGCATTACACATTTGCTCAAGTAACTGAATGCACTCCTTGGGAATGATAAAAATCGAAGCCCAGAAAGAAATGGTAGAGAAAATAACTGCTTGGATCAGTTGAAAACGTCCTGCAAAAGACAGATGACGAACAGTCCAAGAGTTAAACCTGAGCCTGATTTTGTCCAGCAGAGGTTGGAAGTCAGTATTCTTCATTTTTTTTGAAGAGAGCGGTACACCCAAGTATCTAATGGGAAGGGACCCTTGCTTAATCCCCAGCCTCTCGGCCATCTCCTGGCACTAGAGATGTCAATTGGGCGGGCCGGACGGGTTTGGGCGTGTCCGAATGGGCTTCATTTTTTGCTGGACATATTTGGTCGAAGCCCAAATAGAACCATTGTCCAAATGAGACCACAACCAAATAAGACCATAATTTACTATGATTTATTGGGCTGTCCATGTGCCTATATGCCCACTTAATGTAAACACTATAATTTTCAGTTTTAAAGAGTAAAATTCACAAAACTTCTTGTAAACTTCATCCTTAAATCACCATTCTCAAATAAACAAAGACTTTTAAGTCACCATTCACAAACAAACAAAGACTTTTCACCATTCACAAACACAAGATTCATAAGCATAAGATAAAAACATGATTTTGTGGTTTTGACAAAAACACTTTATAGGAAAAATAATAATTGTGGATTGGGCGAAAAAATGCAATCTTACGATTTCGGTAGGACACACGATTTTATGATTTTGAAAAAATATATTGATTTAGTGATTTTAACAAGACAAAATAAAATTATAATTTTTTAGTTATTCCTTAAACCTAAATATTTTAGTTATTTGGGCGGCCCAACGTCCGGATGGTCAAACCCGGTTTTGTCCATGGTGCAATTGGGCTTCACCCATTTAAACCCATTTAAATTTGGTCTAATATGGGCATGTACATATTAGTCCATATCAATTTGGACACGGACCGTCCATGGACAACCCGCCCATTTGACATCTCTACCTGGCACCGAGCAGTAGAACCTCCATCCAACAATAGCTCAGTCTTCTCTTTATTAATCTTCAACCCTGAGACAGCTTTAAACTCCTCTAGAATACTCATTATACCAGCAAGAGATTCCTCAGAACCATCGAAGAAGATGAGAACATCATCAGCAAAACTAAGATGAGTAATAAGGGGGTCTTCGCAAGATGGATGAGGTTTGAACACGTGGTTCACTGCCCCTTTATCCAACATCTTAGATAGCACATCCATAGCCATCACAAATAATAGAGAAGAAATTGGATCCCCTTGTCTTAATCCTTTCTTACCTACGAAGTGACCATTCAACTCACCATTCACAACGATAGAGTAAGTTGGAGTTGTGATACATTCCTTGACCCAGCCAATAACCTTCTCTGGCATATCAAAGGACTTGAGCAGATTCAAAACAAACTCCCAATTTAAGTTGTCATAAGCCTTAGCGAGATCAATTTTCAGGCAACCTCTCCTCGTATCACCTTCTTTATGGAAATCGGTAACCAACTCTGAGGCAAGAAGGACGTTTTCGCATAAAAGTCTTTTCTGGATAAACCCTACTTGGTTCCTCTCCACAATCTCATAAACTTAGACTATTGGTATATCATCCTCGAGTACTTCCATCTTCTTGACAAATAAGGATTTGTCTTTTGTCAAAAAATCATCTCTGCATGGTCCCAGATTTAAAATATCAATATAAAGTATTGAAGGAAAATGAAAGAAAATGCTCAATTCATTTCATTGTTATGAGATCCGTGATGATGTTCGTTTTGTTGTTTCTTAAAATTACATCTCTTGGACTAGGCCTGGGCATTCGGGTACTCGGGTCGGGTTCGGGTCGGGTCCTTTCGGGTCCGGGTCTTTCGGGTCTAGGAGTTTAGGACCCGATAGGGTAATTTCAAATTTTCGGTTTCGGTTCGGTTCGGGTCGTACCGGGTCCGGGTCGGGTCGGGTCTTAGATAGTTGGACCCATTCGGGTAATTAGAATTTATCGGTTCGGATTCGGTTCGGTTTCGGGTCGNGGGTTCGGGTCGGGTCCTTTCGGGTCCGGGTCTTTCGGGTCTAGGAGTTTAGGACCCGATAGGGTAATTTCAAATTTTCGGTTTCGGTTCGGTTCGGGTCGTACCGGGTCCGGGTCGGGTCGGGTCTTAGATAGTTGGACCCATTCGGGTAATTAGAATTTATCGGTTCGGATTCGGTTCGGTTTCGGGTCGGGTTCGGGTCGGGTTCGACCTAAAAAATACCTAAATATATAAAAAAAAATCTGAAAATACTTATATATCCGAAAATATTCAAAATTTTATTCAAAATTTGTGTTTTTACTATATTAAAATGTGTATATATATTAAACTATGCGAGATACAACAACAATTCGTTGTCTCCTAGTGGTTGACCTCTTACTCTCTATAGAAACAACCCGTCTTCGACTCCCCCTCAATGCATTTTATTTAATTTACACTATTAATTCGGGTACCCATCGGGTTTCGGGTTCGGTCCGGGTCGGGTCCAAGACCCGCGGGTCCTCCACAACAAGACCCGATAGGGTAATTTGCTCGGGTCGGTTCCTACCCGGACCCGGTTTTTTCGGGTCGGTTTCGGGTCGGGTCTTCGGGTCCGGGTAAAATGCCCAGGCCTATCTTGGACATCACATGACTCAAATGAAAGACATCAAGACAAAACAATTCAAACCACGAGTATAAGTTAGGATTAAAGACATCAATTAAAACAAATGTTGTTTAAATTATGACAGTCATTACCGCTCTGAACCAAGGAACAACGAATCCACGGTTACAAAGTTACATAAATAACACGATTATTAGGAAATGGTAGACATGGTTACTTTAACTAGCTTCACTTTTAGCAAGAGCGATAAGTTAGCTAGAGAGTTTAATTGTTTTAAATCTTGCATGGATTTTTTTTTTTTAAAATCTTGCATGGTATTTGTATGATATATATCCTGTTTTCATGCACTCTTGTAAAGATCAAAAAGCTTTAAATTAGAATTTGGGCCTAAAAACATCAAGAAACACAATTCAGAATCATGAAGCTAACACCGATAGAAGAAACCCATAAGGGAACTAATTGGCCTTTATTGAGCCCAATAGGTTACAACCAGACAAAGAAGACACCAAGCAAAGACCGCACTCTCTGCTTTTTTATCGTCGCCGTCGCCCAGCTTTCTCCTCAGTGCCATATAGTCTAAGGTATTAATCTCTCTATTGATGATTTTATACACTTTCTGTCACACGTTGAATCTAAAATTTGTTATTTATCAATGTAAGTAACCATCGTCAACATGGGGATGTAGCTCAAATGGTAGAGCGCTCGCTTTGCATGCGAGAGGCACGGGGTTCGATCCCCCGCATCTCCATTTTAAATTTTGTTTTTACATTTTCTTAAGAAAGTAGTCGTAGTGACTTTTTTCACTGCACTTGCTATTCTGTATCTTGGGAAGAGATCCCGTGTGTTCTTGCCTCTTGGCAGAAATTTACGAAGGGGTGGAGCTGATTGAGAAGTGTCTTGTTATACTTTGGAAAGAGAAACTGCATGGTCATTGATGAAGTGAATGATGCATATGATATGAAGAGTATGGCAAAGTCTCCTCTGAGATCTCGTTGAAGTGTAATAAGCTAAGAGCATCGTTATTAGTAAACCCCCATTTGGGATTCACAAACTGTTTTTTTATTATTATTTTTTTCGTTTGATCTTTTAAAAAAAAAACTGATCAATTGTGGACAAAATTCACAAGTTTTGCATTATTTTATTGTTTTTTTTTTTGGTTTGTGTGTGAACCTCCCCTATCATCCTTTGATAGGGGTGCTCTAAATATAATCATTTAAGTTCTAACTAGATCTCAATCCACGCAACCGCGCAAGTATTTATTTTTAATTATTTTTATATACATTTTTTACTTCTAAATTGGTATATATTATATAAGGTGTGTATATCGAAAATGATGATTATTATATAGTATAGATTAATTATTGTTAGAAAATGATGATTTTGTTATTTTGAAAAATAAACTATATAATTTTTAAAGTTACATCGAAAATATATAAATAATTAACTTAAACTATTACAATATTAAATTATATAAGTTTAATTTAAACATGTATTTTATTATAATATCTATAAATCCAATAGATCATCTAATTTTTATTAGCCCAATAAAATTTTTTAGTAAACCCAATAAATGTTATTAGTGAATCTGATGAATGTTATAAATGATTAAATAATGTAATGTCATAAATTCTATTAGATGGTCAATTTTAAAATATCACACATGAAGTGAAATCATGATATAATTTTTCAACAAGGCAAGGCAGTAGGGGGAAGAAAAGATTAATTTCATTCATATGACTTTTACCAACCCAATCATTTCTCTCCGCAGGCTTGTTGTTATTCTTAAATATTAAAATGTCTTTCTTAATTAAGTCTCCAAACAAAACCAAAAATTAGAAAGAAAACAAATAAATAAGAAATAGAAAAAAAGAACCAAAGAGTTGATTCATCATGTCTGAGAAAAAAAAACAGTAATCAATCTTTGTGATTCAAGCAAGCCAGTCGTCTCCATCCATGCCTTCAATTTCTCCAATCTCCATACTATAAGATAATATCATACCCCAGTCAAATGCTACCACAAAATTCTAAATTGAAAATAGAATGAAGATAAACACTTGATCTAGCAAAAACCAAAGTTCAAAAATAATACAAGCAATGATAACACAACAATATTATTATTGGGATGACGTCAAGACCGTTTTGGGGACAGTTCAGAAAAATGGGGTAAGGATAGTGTTTTAATAAGTGTCGGCAATATTTTATCATTGGACCAAAACTTTACAAAACGGACAGCTTCAGATCATGCAATAAACCGATGTGGATTGTTCTCATTCCACAAGTTTCAGTCCTCTTCTTTCTTATTTTTAATCAAACAGTAACTAATTAATTGACCAAGAAGAAATTAAAAAAAAAACAAGAAAAGACAAAAGGGTTCTGTGTTCTGTCTGAACCCAAATCACTGAAGTTTATGTAAGAACCGCCGGTGATTCCGGAAGAACAACACCGATCTAAATGCCGAAACGTTTTAATCATTAATTAATTGAGCTTAAAATAAGTTAATTACCAGGTTAGTGGAGGATTGTGAGAGGAGTAATGAGAGAGATTGTATGGATGATGAAACAATTCTTCATCAGTTGGATTTAACCACGGTGGAAACTCCATGACGTCATTGAACTTAGGGAAGACGTCATCTTCAGCCACGGCAGCTTCTTCCTCCGTCTTTATTACATCCGGTTCCACCGTCTTCATCATGAGCTCTGACCACCAAGCTGACGTTGCCACGTTGTTCTCCTGTTGGTGAGGAAAATAATCTGATGTGGAGGCGAAGGTGGGAAGAGGTGGTGAAGGGGAGGAGTAGATATGATGATTCGTCGTTGGAAACATCGATGAGGATGATGAGGATGAACTAGACGATGATGATGAAGATGAGGAGGTTTGGATGAAGTCGTCGAAGTTGAGGTTTAGCCCTAAAGGTTGATGTGGGAGGAGGAAGTTGAGATGTGGATTCGACCAAGAATATGGATCTGGAGGAGGTGGAGGCGGTGGTGCAGAGAAATGAATATGCGGTGGAGGCGGTTGTTGAAGCGGTGGAATCCTGGCGGCTTGTCGCATGGAAGCGCGATGTTGTTTTAAGGCGGTGACGATTTCGCGACGAGCTTCAGCCATATTAAGGAGACGCTCTTGGTAAGGACGGCTCGTGTGGAGTCTTCTTCTCACTTGTTTCTTGTGTGTCTGCGTTTGCGTTTGCGTTTGCGTTGGGGTTTTGCTGCTATCTGCGGTTGTTGTGGTTGTAGTCATGGTGGTGGTATAAGCAAGTTGTTGCTTCACGAGAGATCGGATGTAAGTAGTAGAGACGCGTGGTTGTTGCTTGTGTGATCTGACCATTATGCTAATATTACTAGGTCATGTTTCTTTTCTTGTATCATTTTTGTTTCTCTATTCCTCAAAGGCTTTGTTTGTGTAATAGTGATTGATGATGATATTGAGATCAGACTGATGTCTCCAGAAAGAAAACAGATAGAGAGAGGAAAGGTGATGAAGAAGCAGAGGCTCGTGGGTGATATAAATACTCTGCTCTACCCCAATATTGTAGACATCTCTATTTTATTTATTTTTTTTGTAAAATATTAGTGAGTGAGAATATGAGAGTTTTTTTTTTCTCTTGTGTGTGTTTTTTCTCTTTCCAATTTTGGCAAATATATTTATGTACTTTTTCATTAAACTTTGCCGTAAATGGCTCTGTTTGGATAGTTGCCACTTGGCAATAATTGACTAAAGTGTCCTGCCCTGAACAAAAGTTTGTTTGTTTAAGTAAATGCTTGTTTTCTTCATACAGTTTCTTCTACAAAACATGCTTAAATGGTAGAAGAGAAATTTGTGTGTTGGTGATTGTCTATTGTAAGGTGATCTCCAACCTAACATCAAAACATTATTTTAGCTGATTTTCATATTTTTGTAGTATTACATTAAAATGGTGCAATTTTTAGTGTTGGGTTAAAAAAATTTAGTATGAAAATCACATCAAAATACTGTTTTGAATTAGATTAAAATAAAAATTTAATATTGAAATCACATTAATAAATAATGTAATCTTAACACTATAACATATTATACGTTGCAGATGCCCTAAAAAAATCAGCAAGATGACTTGCAACCAAATAAAAAGAGGGGTTGTCGCGAAAGATAATTTTGTTTTGACTGATTCTGAATAAATAATAAAGAAGATTGTATTAAAATTTGTAGGTTTAAGAAATGTTCTTTCTTAAAAAAAAAGAAAGAAATTCTCTTCTTATTTGAGAGTCGTGGATTTTTCGATACTAAAGAAAATATAGAGAGATGGAGAGGATATTTTGGAAATTTTAGAGAAGAGAATCCATATGACACTAGTCTTCTGTTAAAAGCCTTTGTCTTCGAGTACAGGAGGGCCCTATCTACATGAAGATCAACACCAAATGCTCATTTAAATATATATTTTATTTACTCATATGATGCAAATGCTCTACCGCTCTCTTTTTATGGGGAAAGTTTTATACTTTCATTATTCTGTTTACAGGCAAAAGGGAGTACTCCGGTAAGTTTTTGAATGATTGAGACTCACTAAATTTAACAGTTTGATAATTTAAAAGTACAATATCGAAAATACAAGCAAACAAAATGGAATATTTCCAGTTTACGGTAATTATAGAAATGATGATAAATTATATATCTTTCTTAAAACACGGTTTGGAAATGGATAATTTCATATTTCTGTCATTCAACTGCTCAAACTAAGAACTCACACCTTTTTCGTAATATATTATTTTCTATGAGCGTATAATTTATTATATAATTGATGCACCAATCCTACATTTTTCTAATCGTTTTCTTCAATCGCTTTTGAATTGATAACTTCCATGTGGCCAAGCCCTAACAGGAATAATTAGTTTATATATCCATCAAACCCATAAAACTGAATAGTGAAAGAAAAGCTGACTAGTGATCGATTTCATCGTTCCTTTTACTTGGCAAGAGACTGCAATTTATACGTACATATATATATATATATATATATATATATATATATATATATATATATATACAACTGCTAAGAGCATCCGCAATGGCGGATCCTTGGGAAGAATCCTTAGGAAAAAGAAAAAGGGTATTTCGGATTATATAAGGATATTTCAGATTTTTTCTTTAAAAAAAGAAAAACTGACCACTCACGGACCGCCACGTGTGCAGTGGAGCCCATAAATAGTGTAAGGATCAATCCTTACATAAGGATTTTTAGGATGAAATCCTTAACTGTTCATGGGACCCATTAATTATAAAATTAATATTTCTCTAAGAATTCTCCGTAAGGATTCACCATTGCGGGTGCTCTAACTAAACGCATGTGCATATATTTTTGTTTGTTTGAAGTTGTTTACCAAAATAATAATCATAAAGAAAATATCGAGATAGGCACACATGCAATAAGAAAAAAATATATCTATCGATGCGGGAGTTTAATTAAGATTTTTTTTCCTAGGGCAAATGTTTAATGAAACTCTTTTTTGTCGACTAAGGAAACTAAAATATATACATTAAGTTGAGAAAAGTAAGTAGAACGAATAACACAAATGAAAGCAGTGGAAACCAGTTAATGTGTTTGAAATCAATTTCGATTTGATGCCGTTAAAGAAAATCTAGAGCGTCTACACATGTACGCAAATATAGTGAGCTTTATTTGACTAATGACTAAAGAGAGCCAAATTGTCTTTCCTTTTTTCTTTCGTTACATGATGCATGCAGAATTCGAATGATAGTAATTATGATTATGTATTTCACCAAAAAGAATTGCTGTACTTTAGAGGTTGAGATTAACTATGACATCACCACTCATGCCAGACTATGAGAGAAGGAGAGGTATGGTGAAAATGTGTCTGCAAGCAATTGTGGGGATGTACACGCAGAGATAGTCCAAATTCGAGGTTTCGTTCAAATTCAACTCTTTCTCTTCTCTCTCCCTTTCTTTGTCAATACATATATGTAGTTCAATACACGACCCTTTTTTGTGAATTCATTCATTTGAGTATTCCAGTATTAATAAATATGGTTGAAAATATATAAATAACTACTTACATATGGATCACCGGTGAAGTCAAATAAAATAATTTCTGTCAAAGAGATTTGTATTTGTTCTGCAAGACAAAGCTTGTATGAAAAGAAATAGAAAATAGAAAATAGTAGAAGAAAACATGAGAATTATTAATTGTTCTTCTACAATATTTGAAACTATTCAATGACAAAAAAATAGAAATTTGTATGTGTGGAATTATTAATTGTTCATCTATATACAATATTGCTATATATCAAAGGTGTGTATTACCCTGAAGAAGAACTGAGTGACAGAGGTATGGCAACTGTTGCCCAATTTGTTTTCTTGTTTTTTCATCTTTGGCAGAGTTTTCCTTCAGACAACAGTGAGAGTGAAAGTCATTTCTGTATTACAACAGTGCTCACTATTCATATTTCTAACCATTAATCCATTTTCATTTTCGTGATTTCTTTGAATCAATGATGTATACATTATATATAGAAACTCTTATATATAACGTAGCCATTTTAATATAATTATTCATTTTTTTGTTTAAGATATATATCCAATTAAGTTCTTAAAGCATATGCAACGCATGCACGATTTTGCAGATAATTTTGAAAGTTTTTTTTGTCTAATTAAAAAAAATTAGTTAAAAATAAACTAATCGTGAATCGTTACATGTTGGTGAGACTCGTGAATAGTTTAAAATTTTCCAAAATTCGGTTTTAACCAAAAAAAAGAAAATACAGTTCTTAAAAAGTAAGTAAAATCCATTGATTTTTTAATCATTTTTTTGCTAAAATCTAAGGTTAAGAGCTAGGGTTAATCTTGCTCTTACCAATGAGGTTGTTCTAAAACTACACCAACCGACATTAATACATGCTCTCTCCCTTTTATCGAAAGGAAGGTTATTCTACATTTTTGAATTATTTTTAGCACTTATATAGTGCTGTATTAAGCACATTTGTATATTTTAAAATATATTTGATCCGTGTAGAAGTGTTAAAGCGGACATTTTTTCAGAAAATGAAAGAAATAGTTAGCAAAAGTAAAAAAAAACTTTTGTTTCAAGATTCCTTAATGTACAAACGTCTTCCAAACCATGCATTTACGTACGCGTATGCTTCCACCTCACTTACCTGTTTGATTTGTTCACTATTGAGAAAATCTGAGTTTTATATACTTTTAACGTATCGATTTGAAGGAAATGTATGTTGCTTCAGACTAAATCAGGAAAAAGCTTTTTAATAAATATCTATTTTTTCTAATCACTTTGCAATTAGTATGTGTACTATATCCTTCAAATACGAGATTAGAGGAGGCACGTATCGGTCCTCTTAACGTAAGTAAAATAAAGTAAAGTCAGTGATTGTTTATCATCCGAGACATATTCCCCCATTTCTCCGACAAACGTTAATTGGCTCCCCTACTGAGACCACCTATACATGCATCAAGATTCAATCATTCTAGAAAGGTTGTTGAATTATTTTGTAACGGTTTATATATATAAATATAGCATGCATACTCGTGTGGGATCTCGCTATGAGATCTAATAAAGAAAACTGTGTAAATTAAGATAATAGGATAATGAGTGATCAATCTCTTGATATAAGGGCACATTATAGAATGGAAGTTGGAGAATCCGAAAACCGAACTTGCTAGTTTCTAAGTTGCCAAGCGGCCTGGCAACCTTTCAAATTTTGAACTAATCAAAATGATTAAATCAAGATAATTAAATCAAATTATGCATCTTTAATAATAGAGGACCTACGGACATGGATTAAATCAAATCTTGCACAATTCAGAATCCGTGTTATTATCACATCCATTATTTTACAAAAATGCAAAAACTACTCTTGTTTTTAGTTGTATTGACAATTGTCTCACATTACCATCTATTTCTCTTTTTCAGGTTGGAGATAATTCGGGTTCTGATCATGTAATATCGCATGCATGCACAGCTTCACTGTTACCTTTGGACCACCCAACTTCATTCATATTTTTCACTTCCAGTTAATTAATAGTGTTGTAAACAAATATAAGTTTTTTTGGAAATCTATCCTTCTTATTTTATATATTTTATGTCCATACCAGAAGAGATATATCCACTTTGTTTGACATTTGTTTTTTCCTGACTTCATATACAACTGTTTTACCCTTATATCTACGTGTGACCGTACATAAATATGCAAAACTAAATTACCTTATAGAAAAACTGGTATACGTCCACTAAATTGTAAATTGTTAAAATGAGTTCGTTTATACCAGATAACCTTTTTTGGATCATATACCAGATAACTTTATATAGAATGGGTTTACTGGATTGTGGTTAAAAAAAAAAGAGAATGGGTTTACTGGAAATCTATCGTTCCGTATTACCCGCCAAGCCCGGTAAAAAAATAATGAATATATAATTTTAAGGCCAATTTTGGAATAGATATCATATTTGGGTGTATTCCACA